TTAGGTAACAAATCTAAATAAATTACTCTTAGTAATTTTACAAATATAAATGATAGTCTCGTAGTAATGCAATAAAAGTTCTGTTATATCGTGAGAGGAGTAATTTTCTCATATAGGGGAATACAAACATAACTAGACCTACTTTGGCTTGGGATTGTCACTACGACACTAGATAAGTTGTGAAAATATTTAGTTGGCTTATTTACAGATACTATAAACACCCGTGTACTACACGGGTGCTTGCTAATTTTTTTCTTGAATTCTAAAATTAATGAAAAAAATTAGTAAAAATTTTAAATACCTTTTACAAATATATATATATATGTATATATATATTATTATATATTTAGTATGTCACTTTTTATTTGTGCGACTTTATTATTCTTTATTATTATAAAGATAAATATAATTTATTTATTTCATATATACAATATGGATGTTAAATCGAAAATCATCAAAAGATGATTAATTTAATATATAATATATGTAAAACTGATAAGAAATACAAAAGTTATCAACTTTTAAAATACATTTACAATTTAATAGCTAATTGAAGGAAACAATCAAAGTCATGGATATATTAGTCACTTATTGCTTCATTATGTAAAATTACAAATAATTAAAGGGTTATATTAGTACAAGTGATATTAAAATACCTAAGTTAGATAAATAATATTTATGGAATGTATAAACCTAGATTATTAATTAATTATTAATATTGTTCAAACCTAATTACGAAACATGATTCTGCGCCAAATAGGATTACGAAGCACCAGAAGCAGCCACGTAAGCTCAGCGAATTCGGGAATTATATATATTATTGTGAGGATACTATAGCTCTTCATAAATAATTGTATATACAGATCATAATTTTTTTAATTTTTTTTTTTAAAAAATATTACATTGAAGCAACTAAGAACTTAATACATCCCAAAGAAAGAGAGAATATAATGGGGTGGGAATCCTTTCAAAAGCAAGAAGATAGAGACATAGTTGTCCAATTTGCCATGATGCTTCCTTAAGGGAATGTGTACACACATACTGCACTCCAGAGTAGACAGTAGCTCCCTCGTATCAGAAAGTATTTCAAAAAGAGGGTTACAATTAGGACTGTAAACGAGCCGAGCTGAACTCGAGCTTAGGGTGCTCGAGCTCGAGCCCTTAACGAGCCTAAAATCGAGCTCGAGCTCGGCTCGTTAAAGCCTCGAGCTCGAGCCGATCTCGAGCTTTAACGAGCCGAACTATAAAAATTATATAAAAATTCTATTTTCGAGCCTTATCGAGTCGAGCTGTTAGCCAAACGAGCTTTTAATGAGCTCGAGCTCGGCTCGTTAAGGTCTCGAATTTGAGGCTCGAGCCGGCCGAGCCAGACTCGTTTAATTTAACAGCACTAGTCACAATCTTCCATCTAATGAGCCCTCCCACGACTCTTATGGAATCCGTCAAAATCACCTGAAGTTTGAAGTTAGAATCACTGGCACATCGTAAACCATATCAACACCCTAATCCCATCCCTGTAGCACATTCGTTCATTTGTTCTCATAGCTACGTTAAATTTAGCATTGGACATAAATCAACCACGACCACTAGAAATCCAGAAATCCACAAATTACAGGTAATTAGAATCGTCGTCAGGTCGAATCAGAAAAGACGCCCAAGCCCTGCCATCTAGCAAATCGAAGCCTTAACTTTACAGTTCGCCGTCAATCCGAGCCTAGACTTTCAGTCTCCGTCGTACGCCAAAATAGAGACTCCAACTGCATTCGTACGATCTGCGACCCTATGGCTCGGTCTGTTTTCTCCGCTTGTCGGTTCCACACAAAAGTTGTCGATGTCCCGATCTCCCATTGGCTGCTATCACGAGAAACTCGAGACAACAAAGATTCTTTGTCATGGGTGTCGTGGGTTTGTGTATGGTGCTGGTATTTTGGGATTCGAAATTTGTGAGAAAAGGAAAAAATTTATGAAATGAAATTTTGAGGGTTTATTTGCACAATCGAGCGGGGGACCTTCTTCGTGTTCACGACCATATCAGCACTTGCGCTAGTGCAGCTTAGCTCGGCCGGCGAGGGGGATGGAGTCAGAGTTGGATGATATGGCTTGTGAGATTTACAGGGTTATGGATGATCATAAATTTGTTGGTTTATTTGATAAGTTGAAGGTGTATATTTATGTGAATTTTGAATTTCATTGTTTATTTGACGATCATTAATAGTTTATATTTGATAATATAAACATGTTATAAATTATAAATAACCTAAATATAAACTTATAACAGACAATAATCAGTAATTTTACAATACAAGTGTATATTTTATATAAATGTGTAATACCTCTAAAAAATATTTATGCAAAATGTTTCAAACATTGTAGTATATATATAATTTATCATAGTTATTTTCACCTAGTAAGAAGATATAGTGTTTTTTTTTTTTTT